ATACTATTTAAAAATAGAAGTCTTTTACCTCATCATTGAGTCGTCCTAGATAACACAGAGAATTAAAAAAGAATTCAGTCATACGTCACCAATTCTGAGTTCATTTTTAGATGTAAAAAGAATTCTTCAGAGTTCAGTTCAGTGAAAAGAATTCTTTTTGCACCTAAAACTAAAATTTGGTAAAAACTCAAAATTGGTGATATATGACTGAATTCTTTTTGAATTCTCTGTGCTATCTGGGATACTATTTAAAAATATGAAAGTCCTCTAACATGTTATCAAGCTGTAAAGTTTAAAAATAAAAATATACATTACTTATCGTTGAATACTATAATCTCAATGTTTCATTAATAACAATAACAGTTTATACATTAAAAATTTTTTATGAACACACACTACATTTGGAATAATAAAAGATCCATTGAAGTTGACTAACAAGCTGCTAACACCATCTAGCAGTGATTATAAAAAGACTAGTTGCATCCACTGAAATATATACTACTTGGAATGCGCGCTGCCTCTTGAGGCGTACGGGATGAGAGAGAGGTTTCTTGTTTCCTCTCTTATCCTTGTCTGGTTCATAATATAGGATACGGTCCAGCGGGCGCTGCAAATGCTTTGTAGCGTTTTTACTTCTTTCTCTTTCTTCATTCGAATCCGAGGAATAGAATAAGAGGGAGAAACGCTGCGCAGCATTTGTAGCGGTTGTTGGACCGCACTCATAGTCGAGAGTGGGGAGAATATGATATAATCCAAATTAAAAGTTAGAGATAATATGAGAAACAGTGACCACTGAATGGCAATGACTTAAGCTTATGAACGAAAGTTTAAATTATAAAAAAAATATATTTTTTTCTCATTTATTAGTATTCACTTATCGACTTATTATTAAGAAAAACAAAGCAAAGATAGTTCCTAATTCGGAGATTCAGTTTATGTTTAGAAATCAGCCGACTTAGCTTTTGGACTGTAGCTTTGTCTAGTTCAGACTGTACTAGACAAAGACAGAGCGCTGTTCGAGACCTACAAGCATGCTCTCTCTCATCCCGCAACACTCAAGAGGTAGCGCCCTTATTCTTGAAATAGTTGCGTATAGTAAGTAGTTACGTAAGTTTTACTGCGCAGGTTTAATTATACCATAAAATAGCGCAATGAAAATAACGTATATGCAAAAATTTCAAGAATATGGGCGTAGGCCAGGTAGTATATACCCTAACAGCACAGATATCCAGGGAACGTCTTGAGTACGTTCTGAGTACGTCCCAATATCTTCAGAATATCCCTGGAACGTTCTCAAAAGTTCTTGTGCTGTCTGGGTAGAGATCCTATAATAAAGCCAGCAGCACATGGTGCTTGTTTTCGTGCTGGATTGCTTACTGAATAAAAATACTCTGTTTTGATTAGTGTATTTACATCCATCTTCAGAAATGCACCAATCAGCAAGCAATCCAGCATAAAAACAAGCATTGTGTGCTGCTGGCTTAAGAGTCTGGCCATCAGAGGAATTCTGACAAAATTCTTCGACAGAGAAAGATATATATTTACTATCTCTTTCTGTAATCTATTCTTTTCTGACGCGTTCACGCATGCGTTTCAAACAGTCTACACTGCTCTAAAGGGACGTCTACATTGGAAGTAAACAGTAAGAAGTAGGAAATAAGAATAAGAAATTGACCAATCATAGTTGATTATTCTTCTCACATTCGACTGTGGTTGGTCAATTTCTTATTCTTACTTCCTACTTCTTGCTATTTACTTCCAATGTAAACGTCCCTTTAGACTAAGCTTTGAGAGGAAAGCGTCGTCTACAATATGCGGAATAAGCTTGGAGTAAGAAGTAAGCCGTAAGAATTGGCCAATCGTAGTCAATTATTATAAAAATAATCGTGTATGATTGGTTAATTCTTACGGCTTACTTCTTACTCCAAGCTTACTCCGCATATAGTAGACGACGCTAAAGGGATGTCTACATTGGAAGTAAGTAGTAAGAAGTAGGAAGTAAGAGTAAGAAATTGACCAACCACAGTCGAATGTGAGAAGAATAATCAACTATGATTGGTCAATTTCTTATTCTTATTTCTTACTTCTTACTGTTTACTTCCAATGTAGACGTCCCTTAGGCCCATTCTACAATTGCGTAAGCGTAGTCGTGAACGTAAGAGTCAACCAATCCGAATGTTTTATTCACTAATTGCTTTACTCTGATTGGTTGTCGTAATCACTTACAATCACTTACATCCACGTTCACGCAATTGTAGAATGGGCTTTAAAGCGTCTTCTACAATGGCAGTAGAAGTAGTAGTAAGAAATAAGCAGTAAGTAAATAGACCAATCACAATCGATTATTTTTGAAACGTGAGAATGGAATTGGTCAATTTGCTTACTGCTTATTTCTTACTACTACTCCTACTGCCATTGTAGAAGACGTTTTAAGGGACGTCTACATTGGAAGTAAATAGCAAGAAGTAGGAAGTAAGAGTAAGAAATTGACCAACCACAGTCGAATGTGAGAAGAATAATCAACTATGATTGGTCAATTTCTTATTCTTACTTCCTACTTCTTACTGCTTACTTCCAATGTAGTCGAGTAAATTGAAGAGAAACAAGTTTCTTCTCACTTTAATCATTTGCATTAGTTCAGCAGTGCAGCAAGAACAGATCATTAAATTATATCGCGTAGAGATTTTCTTTGGTATCAACATTATCCCCTCCATTTTTCGGGAAATTGTTGCTTAACCAATACTTAGGATTGCTTGCTAGATGGAAATACGCTATTCTGATTGGTCCGTTTTCAGAAATGCACCAATCAAAACAGAATATTTCCATCCAGCATGAAAACAAGCATCGTATGCCGCTGGCTTTACTTAAATAAACCAATCATAATAAATAAATCTTAGTTCTTTTTGTCTTGATTGGCCAATTAAATGTACTTTACTAATCGAGTAGAATTTCTGAACGCAGTCCTGTACGGGTGTATATCAGTTGGACACGGGGCAATTGGACACAGTCCAATCACAAGTCGCTGTTCCAAGGGACCCTACAAATGTCTCTAATCACACGGTGCTATGATTGGCTGTGTCCAAATGCACCGTGTCCAAGTGCACCGCTCCCGTCCTGTACTGCTGAAATAAGTTGGAGTGAGACAAATATATGTTTGTCTCACGCTTATTGCACCAGTGCAACAGTGCAACAAAAAAAAAACAAACTTGAAAACACCTCTAAAAATGGATTTATAAGCTTTGTGATTGGCTATCAGCTAGTTTTAGAAACGCTTTTAGCGATAAAAGAGAGTTCAAAATATGGAACTTAGAATAATAGTAATGACGGTAGCAAATCCCCTATAAAGTCTGCATTTTGATATTTACTGCAAATATTGAAAATCTATAGTATATGTGACATAAACTATAGATTTTCAATACTGGCTGTAAATACCGGAAGAGACGACGCCACAGGAAATATAATATATATAAAACTAAATGTATTATACTGTATAATACAATGTATAATACCTCAGTATAATACGTGCCTAACCCTGAACCCCTATCCTTGAAATAGTTGCGTATACGTAAATTTTACTGCGCAGGTTTAATCATACTATTAAAATAGCTGCGCAATGAAAATTACGTATACGCAAAAATTTCAAGAATAGAGTCCCTGATCCGTATCCAATCCGATTACTTGTCAGAGGGTTAGGCGACAATTTCTTGAAAAGTGGAGGGGATAATGTTGGTACTGAAGAAAATCTCTACGCGATATAATTTAATGATCTGTTCTTGCTGCACTGCTGAACTAATGCAAAAGATTAGAGTGAAAAGAAACTTGTTTCCCTTCAATTTATTGCACCAGTTCAGCAATGCAGTTACAAAGAACAGGCCTTTAAATTATATCGTGTAGAGATTTTCCTTGGTACCAACATTATCCCTTCCACTTTTCGGAAAATTGTCGCCTAAGGGTGCCGTCCCATTGAGCACGGATCGGAACGGCGGATCGGATTTCTTACTATAATGAGCGTTCCGTTCTCTAGTTCCGTAAAAGTTTCCTCTACCAGTCCCATGTAGCAAAAACGGAACGGAATGGCGCGTCGGTCGCAAATAAATATGATTAATTCGTCAATATTTCGTTATTTTGACGCGACAGAATTAATTATATACATAATTTATGCAATTATCATGCCGATAACATTGTTATGAATATTCTGAAATATTTAATTGAAGAGTGAAATATATTTTATAACTAGAAATCCGTTCCGTTTTTGCTACATGGGACTGGTAGAGGAAACTTTTACGGAACTAGAGAACGGAACGCTCATTATAGTAAGAAATCCGATCCGCCGTTCCGATCCGTGCT